TTGTGTTTCTGGTAGTTGCCAGAGGGGGAAAAAAGGTATTCATTTTTTGGGGTATCTGAGTCTTGGATTTATTGGCAAGTTTGACCTATCGTGAGAAAAATCATTAGTACTGTTAGCTGTTTCTGTTGGTTGGAGTTGGGTTATCCAGATTTTGCAAATTTATTTCTCTATGTCGTGAAAAACTTTTTTTGTCCGCAGAATTTCTGTAGTGTCCTTCCAGTCTTTTTATTCAGCCTCGTAAGTTGGAAAATCTATCTCATGAAAATACAATTTTTTGCCCTTCTTATCAGGCTGTAAGGATTGACGAGATAACGTTTTGTTTGGTCTCTGTTATTTGACCCATCTGTACTGTTTATCATATCGTGTTTTGTATTTATGGCTTGAGAATGCTGGGTGTTAGCCAGGGATGTTCAGTCCTTACTGTCATCTGTTTTAGTTTTTTAGGCAGTGCTTGTTAAAAGAATTTTGGTCTTTTTATAGAAAATTATTAAAACATTCGTCAATAGCTGTATAGTTTCTATCTCAGTGTGCCAGTCAATTTTTGTTACCTGCTGTTGTGAAGTTAATTCTGCTGCCTCATGTGAAGTCTGAAAGGATACTTGTTAGTAGTGTAATGGGGTATTTTTACCAAGAGTTGATAGAGGAAAGAGGGTAGTGGTCTGTGGCATTAACTGGAATTATTCCTGATTTTAACGGGGATATGTGTTGGTCCAGATGTGGTCAGTAGGGAAACAACTAGTCCTCTGTAACTCTTGTGTTTGTTACTGTGGAAGCAACATGCAGTTACTCATTGAGTTTGTGTAATTCAGTAACTTGTGGGTCCCTGGATTCTTGCAGTAGATTTGTATTGAATCCACCTGAGAGTAGTAATGAATCTTTGATCATGCGATGCATCAGTTATCATACATTCCTATGTTTTGACATATATTGGCTAATGATTGATTGTGGCACCTGTAGATGTTTATCACTGTGAGAGTTTTTTGAAGGTATTTGGGAATTGAATTTAGCTATTATATATTCCCCATGTTCATCCCTTGTGCAAAGTATTAGTGAATACATTCAATTGGTCTGATAGTATTTAGCAGTGCCACCCCCTTGTTGAACGGCCTACGTAGAGTATTGCTGTAGTAACCAGGAATGTGCATAGACATCAGGTAGATCAGGCTTAGCCAGGTTTCAGTTAGTGTAATGAAGTACATAATTGGCATGCAAGGAATTAATTAATAGCTAGGAGGTCATCAAAATGCCTTGCTTAAAGATCCTATATTGTAGTTCAAGATAGTTATGTGTTGTTAGCTCTGTGTAGTGCCTTTGATTATCAGCTGTGTAGTAATACAGTTAACTGTTTGAATCATTTAAGTCCATTACATAAGATGTTTGGTATCGGGATCCATGCTTTGTAACATAAGATTAGTAGTGAAACAAAAGTTCAATTAAGTAAAACAAAAGTAAATATTCTAAAGCTAAAAAAATAGCACCTGAATGATTTAAGCAAATGAAAAATAATAGCACCGAATGATTATTAAAGCTAAATAAAGGAGACAATATAAAAGGGACTAAAATAATTTGTGGTGAACAAATAAAGTGATGATCAAATAATGGAGCTTGGGAATATGATAGTAGTACTTTAAAGGTAATTCTTTAAAGTTAGAATTATAATATAAAATTATAATATAAAAGGGACTGATATAAGTTGTGGTGAACAATAAAGTGGTAATCAAATAATTGCACTAAGGTCTAATATAATGACTTTTGTGGAGTCTATGTTTTGAGCTAGAATGAGCTATAGTACAACTAGGGGAGATGAACATCAAAATGGTATACAATACCGACAGGTTGTTAGGTAAGACACATATGCAACAGTTAGACAACTTTATTCCGAAACGTTTCGCCTACACAGTAGGCGAAACGTTTCGGAATAAAGTTGTCTAACTGTTGCATATGTGTCTTACCTAACACACACAACTAGGGGAGACTGGACGTATTTCGTTACTCTTGGAGATTTGTTTGAAAATAGGCAACAGATATTTGAGACTGCGGCAACATATGTGAAAGTAACGACTTAACTGTTGCTGCTTGTGGAAGCCCTCTGCGATGAGCTAGTGCAGTCAAGTAGTTTCCGTTATGATGGCTCGATTTGTGGTTAAACAAAAACGCAGTAGTGATGAACAACCATCCCAGAGCTGACCAGTAGAAAAGGAGAATTAAGTAAGTTTGGTCTTTATTTTGCTATTATTAACAAGATGTGCAGGCTAATATTACCATGTCTAATTTTTCTCATTTACTATATTGCACTAGCAGCTCAGTACTACTTAATTTAGTTGAGTTACGCTAACTTGCAGTAGCTGCGGCTCTCTCAATCAGTGTGTTTAACCGAAGTGGCTCTTGCAAAAATTAGTGAATAACACATTCCTAGGTGATACCCCATCTCAACAGTGGTACCGAGCCGCGACTCGGGGAGAGCCTCGGGGCCTCCGTATGATAGAAACTGGTCCAGAGTGCAGTGTACCGCCATCCATCGGCTTCGTTTGGGCTTTCCCACAGCCAAGATGAATGGTAGACAAGGCTGAGATGTGCCAGTACTGCCAGCACGTTGTCCAGCGCCCCCTAACACACTATCTTCTGGAGTGCGAAGTTACTGAGACACTCCGCAGGCAACTATCCCCTCCCGAAGAGGACCCAGAGATGACTGGGGCCACACTAGTGTACCATGGAGTCAACGAACCACACAAGTTGTTGCCCGTGATACCGACATATCCTCCTCCTCGCTAGTGTCCACAGTTAGCATGAGACACACCAGATGAACGACCAGAAAGTGCATGAGCAGCATACGTTGCAACATTGCAGAACCCTTTCTCCTTAGGGAGCCAGAGACGGGTCATCGCAAGATTAAGACCCGTGCTAGGACTCCGGTCTTGGCGAACATTATACATACGTAAAGATTCCCATATGTTGCATAAGTGTTTTAATTCTTCAAGTTCTACATTATTTAACTTGTAAGTTCTAGAGGAACACTGCAGCAGGCCTGTTGGCCTTATTTATCTATACAAATTAGGCCTGTTATTTATCTATACAAATTAGGATTAAAGTTAAGACACGTGCAACATCTGGTTATCTTTACTGTAGACGTTTCGCCATCCAGTAGCTTTATCAATACAGATTCTAGGACACAAATAAAGACAGTAGAACTATATACAAAAGATTACTAGATGTGGAAAAAGACACTTGTGTACAGTTCAGGACATTTATTAAAGGAAACATTTCGCCACGAGTGGCTTCTTCAGTTAACCAGATGTTGCACATGTCTTAACTTTTATCTTGTCGGTATTGTATACCTTTCTTGAACAAATTAGGAATAAGTTATGAAGGTGCGAGCTTCGTAGTATCCTGTAAAATGCATGTTGTCGTTCACGAGTAAAAACCTTGAATGTATTAATGGTGTGAAGGCGTAGATGGAACGCCGTTTGTGTTTTTGTTACTTTCAATCACTAGTGATAAAACTGGCCTTGAATTGATAACAAAAATTCATGAATGCTTATGTTATCAATAGAAGGACGATGTTTGCATTAATTGTGGTGATGTAATTCTAATTCAAAAGACAAGTCCGTTACCAAAATTCGTTAGTTACAGTTAAAGGGGATGTAAATAGTGTGCTGAAAATATCTAGCCTAGACAGGACTCGCAGCAATGGTTTTAAGTTGGAAAAATTCAGATTCAGGAAGGATATAGGAAAGTACTGGTTTGGTAATAGAGTTGTGGATGAGTGGAACAAACTCCCGAGTACAGTGATAGAGGCCAGAACGTTGTGTAGCTTTAAAAATAGGTTGGATAAATACATGAGTGGATGTGGGTGGGTGTGAGTTGGACCTGATAGCTTGTGCTACCAGGTCGGTTGCCGTGTTCCTCCCTTAAGTCAATGTGACCTGACCTGACTAGGTTGGGTGCATTGGCTTAAGCCGGTAGGAGACTTGGACCTGCCTCGCATGGGCCAGTAGGCCTTCTGCAGTGTTCCTTCGTTCTTATGTTCTTAATAAGATATCTACTGCACGTGATATGCATTTTATGTGCTGCTCTTGCTTTTGAGCCAACTTTATAGTGAATGCACAAAACTATCGTGTTATGACTCATTCCTCTAAGTTAACAGTCAGGAACAACTTTGAACGATCCAGAATAAATTTGTGACTGCTCGTATGACGTTACTACTTCTTCAAACCAGGTAATGGTTAGTCTGCAGTTTAAACCTTAGGGTTATATGAATATTAGACATTAAATTATAAAAATTGTCGTACGAGGTGTATGTATAAGTATATACATGTAACAAGAAGTGATAATATCTTAAATTCCGATTTGAAACTTGGAACACTGACATTGTCTTGACCTTCATCCTCTACATCCATTTATTTTTTTTTTTTAAATTGGAGGTTGAGTATTTTTAAATTTAATGTTGTGTAAAGCTGAAGGAAGAGAAGTATTTAGTTGGGATGGTGGAAGGTTGTTGGTAGCTGGTGGGGGCGTGAGGTATGCGGGCACCCACCACCACCCTACGCACTGCCTTGCCTCCCTCAATCCATCCAAAATTCTGTTAACAATTAATAAATGTTTTAGTATTAATATATGTAATAAATATTTATTAGGGTACTAGAAAGCAGTGTGTTGTGTGGTGGTGAAACAGCAGCCTGGTGGCGCCACTGTACAGTACGATAAGTTGTGCTCTTGGAGCCTCTGTTGCCACTTAACTAGAATTGGCAGCAGTTTTATCCCAGCCCTGAAGGTGGGGTTATGTTACTTAACTATCACAAGACTAGCTTATGGGAATATTTGTGCTTAACCACTGTTAAACGTGTTGTGGCAAACAAGCTGTTTTAACTTGCGTGATGGTGCTTGTGAAAGGATAGTGTGTGATGGTGTTACAAAGTAAAGGTTAGTGTGGGTGTGGTAAAGTTGGAGCAATGGTGGCTGGGGCCAGCTGACCATCAACTCCCCACTTGACGCCTTGGAGGCCGCCCTCAATGCTTCCCAACCTACCACGTGATTACAGTCATGGAGAACCAGCGCCCCATGGAAGGGAAGTGTCCACACAAGAAATATTCCACAAGACCTATTCACAGATCTGATGGGCATAGAAGTCTTGGAAGAAAAAAAAAAGATTGCTATGGTAAGTTAAAGGCTCTTGCGTCCATCATTTTGGACAGTCAGTCGAAGGACGAAAAGACCAATACACTATTTTTGGTATTGACAAGGAATTCAATCATTCCTTCCCCACAGCTTTTAAATTAAACTGGGGAAAATATTGAATTTGGGGTTTTGCAGTGAACCGAAAATTGGATGTCCCAAACCCAAAAGCTTTGACTCATCCGGTCTAAAATAGTAAAAAAAGTACCGAAATAATTGACAAAAAAAATCGAAAGTACATTAAATATATACGGGGGCTTTATTCCCCCAATAAAGTACGAAACCCTGTGTTAAGTATGAAATCATACAGTAGTCCTGTAAGATATTTTGTAAAATAGGGGGGCCAGGAGTTTCGCGAAAAATTTTTTAAAAGACAATGTGTATACGTGAATAGTTTTTTTTTTTCAAATTAAAGGTTAGCGACATCAGTTTCCGGGTCGGCCATGTTGATTATTCCATGTGGAAGGGGAGGATTTAACGATTTGTTTTTTTTATTTCAGTTTTTATTTTTTTTCCAAAAAAAATAATTTCTGTTGTTATTGGTTGTAATAATAGGTTCGTTCGTGCGACTTTGAAAGCATTAGGCTCCCAAAACAGGTTAAGAAAAAACCTAGGTGATGCTTCTGAAAAGTTATCAGAGGAAAAGACAGGTGTGATTGTCAAGTTTACAACAAAACTTTGAGGGGAAAAGAAATCTTGAAAACATTCGAATGTGTGTAGCACGTTTATATCAGGTAAGATCTGCACATTTTAGTGTTAATCCTTAGTGGCTTTTCATACAGAGTGTTCTTTTATTATACACCCATCTGTGTACAACAATCCACACTTGTAGTGGCATATCGCCTAATCTTTGCTAGTGAAGTACCTACAATTATACAAATATAATTTAGCATACTGACAGTCGTATAACATTTGAACCATAATGTCTAGTTGTGCATACGAATATGAAAAATGTTACTCTACATTATTTTTAATTTACTATGAAGGTTCTGAAGCATTATTTTTATATATGAATCAAGTCATTAAAACATTTGTTGATGACGTTGCCTGCTACCTTTTACAATAATTGTCAATTTTTTTCATGTATTAACCCTTAAACTGTCCAAACGTAGATTACGTTTTTTTTTTCAACATTTGAAAGTATGTAAAAACTTTTTTTTTTTTTTTTTTTACATTTGAAAACGTGTAAAAAAAACTATGATCTTTTTTTTTTTGTTTGAAAATGTAAAAAAAAAAGTAATCTACTTTTGGAGCACTACGCATGTGAGCATAGATCTGTTTGGACAGTTTAAGGGTTAATACTTGCTGTTAAAGCCATTAACTTTTCTTTGCCATGGTCAGGAATTTATCATTGCTGATCAAGGCTTTTTTTTTTTTTTTTTTTTTTTTTTTTTTTTTTTTTTTTTTGTAGTCTAGGTGAAAATACAAAGCAAGTTAACACTAGTTAGATGTTATAACTGGAAGTATTCTAACACCTGATAAAACCTCCACTATTAATACAGATTTTCACCGCAAATCAACTATAACTATAAAAAATCATTCAGCAGCGCTAATTAATCTAAATTGACGAAAGTAAATATTTCACAATAGAAAAGTAAATAACTTTTATTTTTGTAACACTTGACACTGTTTTCAAATATATAACCAGTATGGTCATTCATGCTGGTACAGGTGATATCCTTATGTTTGAATGCACTAAATTTTTTACTTTGTGATTAGGAGGCATTTTATAAGTACGTATATTTTTGAAGTGAACCCTCGCATTAACCCTTTGAGGGTCGACAGGCCCTCTCCGAAACTCGTTCTCAGGGTCGGCCAAATTTAAAAAAAAAAAAATATTTTCTCGTATGAAAAGATAGAGAATCTTTTCCCGATCATAAAGACAACAAAAGTTTGAAATTTGATAGAAAACTTACGGAATTATGCTCTCGCAAAGTTAGCGGTCTCGGCGATGTTTACGCATCGGCGATTTTGCCCACTTTGAGCCCCATTTTCGGCCAATTTCACTGTACTAGTCGACAAAAAAACATGAATATTTCGCTAGAACTCCATTTTTTCTATCGAATGGGTGCAAGAAACCACCCATTTATGAAATTCAACTATCCGTACAGTGGTCAGAATTTAGCAATTTTGGGCCCAATTTCACACAAATTTCAAAAGATGCCAATTTCCGAATAGGGTCCAGAATAAACAAGAAAAACTTCCTGGCACTAAAATGACATTTCCTCTAGTCATTAGTCACGTCTCAAGGCCCCTCTTATATTCTTTGCTTTCCACTTTGAATTTTTAATTTTCGCAAAAAATATTAATTTACTGTTATGCAGACTAAAGCCTTAGTGGGAAAAAATGGTATAAATATTATTGGGCACTTGTGAAAGAAATTAGACTCACCAGTTGACGTGTATTGCACGCTTGGCACGATTTGTTTACTTTTGAAGTTTGGTAAAAATCGAACATTTCTGCTACTTTGAGCTCAATTTCAAGGCACCTTTCATTGTAAAACCAGTCAAAATCATCTCAATTTCTGTAATATGTCTTCCATTCTATAAAATGAGACCAAGAAAACTAGAATACAACAAAAAATACCATACGAAAATACACTGCAAAGTCGCTGATTTATTCCAAAAAAATGGTCGTTTTTTTTTTCTCATTATGCACTGTGTGCTGCAGGATTTTTTTTAGACTGTGCACACTGACCACATATACCCATTCTTTCATATAAAGGCCTACCAGCTTTCTCCCACTAGATTTGAGGCCGCTAGAATTTATGCGTACTAGTACGTCAAAAACCCCTATGCGTAAGACGTACTAGTACGACCAAAACCCTCAAAGGGTTAACAGACTAATATAGAGGGGGCGTACAATGTTGCTGGTTGTACGAAACTTCTGAATTATGAAATTACCTTTTCATGATTGTCTTCTGAACTAGCAAATTTGATCTGCTGATACAGAAGACAACTACACTTAAAAATATGGATATTGTAACCTGTACTTCATTCCATTGCTAAACTATGCAGCAGTTTGAGATGTGTAAACTGCTGTCAAGCTAAACTAGCATCTCCATGAAAGATCATGGTCTGATAGTCCTTGCTTCCTCAGATATCAGACACTTTAGCACCATATTTCTCTTACACCTGTACCACTGAGATGCCAGACAAGCTTCTGTATTAGTTCAAGTTTGTTTAACTCTCAGAACCACATCCTTTTTTTCTCTCTCCTTTTGGCAGTGCCACTTGTTTTAGAAGCCGTTGTTGATTACACTTCACTTAATGTTAATAAAGTCACAGTAATGCCTTCTATAGTACAGCTTTGAACAGTACGGGTTTTGATATAATGCAGTTTATAAATTTAATGTAAATGTTATTTAACTGCATTACACACCATTATTGAACTGCTGCTATGTACTGAACTAGTGCAGTTTGAACATCAGTATCACTCCAGACTCAGTGAAGTTCTGTAGTCTTGTACAGTACACACATATATATTTTATATATATATATATATATATATATATATAAAATATATATATATATATATTATATATAAATATAAATTATATTATATATATAATATATTATATATATATATATATATATATATATATATATAATATATATATATATATTATAATTATATTATATAATTTTATAATATATACATATATAACTATAACATAATATAAAAATAAAAATATATATATATATATATATATATATATATATATATATATATATATATATATAATATATATATATATATAATATGGGGTCCACCTCTGGTGTAAATTGTGGGACCCATAGCCTCGGAGAAGTGGATAAAAAGGTTCAAGGAAGAATATTTGGATTTCTTCCTGAAGCCATTTTAATATTCCACTTCCCCTACCACCCCATTTTTAAACTATTTTTTTTACCAATAGGAATATTTTATTACATATGGTACAGAAATTTAAGAGATACATTGTTGATATAAAGGTGGCATATACGGTACATGTTGTTACATTGAAATCACCGATTATAAGGCGAAAATCTCATCCAGCTCCTCAGAGCTGGGGCGTGTCCCCAAAATGCACCCATGCATTCCCCCTTTGAACAGCCGCACTGAGCCGCTGAACAGAAAACTAACTGCCCTGGGATCCCAAAGTTACCCTGAATGAGTCTTTTCCCAGCTCCTTAAGGAAATTAGATGCACTCTTTCCCCCATGAGCCAAGGGCCCTTGACCTATGGGAACAAACATATAATGATGGGAAAAAGTTCTCCATATTTTCAGACTTTTGGGACTCCCTAAAGCTGGCAGCTGCCCCTCCTTCCCCCTGGTGTATTGGAGATAGGTATCAGCCCCAAAGGGAGATGCACATGTATAGTCCCACACCACCTGCTTCCCATTTTGTCCAGGCTTGAAGGGGGATACCATCTGGGCGCTTCTGGCTGCCGTCAGATCTGCATAGTTGCGTGGCTCCCTTAGCTGGGCATCCAGCTGTTGTGAGCCCCCTCTGTAATGTTATAACCTCCTCATGTCTTGCAATCTTTCCCTCGGATTTACGGCACACAAGACCATGTACCCGAATCGTCTGCTGCTTCACTGCCACAAATACACCTGTGTTCGGCGAGAATAGGGGCGGCAAGATCGAAGGGCAACACCGATGCGGATGGTCTGTGGGTCGAGGCGTGTGCCAAGGCTGGAGTTGGGAACAGCCAACAGAAAGTCCCCAGCATGAGGGGGTCTCACTGCCAGCAGGCGGGCTCTATCCTTTCCCCGACACACTCTGAAGCATCGTTGAGGCAATATTTTCCACTATTGGACCATCCCAGTGCGATTGTTTGTAGTTGTTGGGGGGAGCAGGTCTGGTTTCTGAGCCCGTTAGATTATCCCAGATCATTGCTCCGTCAATGAATTTTTGGGCCTGGGCTCCAATCTTGTCCCTAAGAGTTCAGGGAGAATCCTGCTACAAGCTCTCTGGATGCAATACACGAGGACAGAAAAGCG